GAGGTGAGGGGCAGGAGGGGGACGGGGCTGGAAAGCTACCGGCAAGAGGCTTCAAAGAGCTGCACTTTCAAAGTGAGCCAGGGCAAACTCTCGAGCCCCCAATGCATTGCAAAGCTGTGTTTGAAAGCCCCGGGAAGCTACAGCGAAGGAAATAACTGCTTAAGAACGGAGAGCTGGAGATTTCTAACGTAATTCTTTTGCTAATGTGAACGATTTCAATATTCAAAGTGCCTAAATCCGCTTGTAAAGAAGATGCCAAACTAACTTTCAAAGTGAGCCAGGGCAAACTCTCGAGCCCCCAATGCATTGCAAAGCTGTGTTTGAAAGCCCCGGGAAGCTACAGCGAAGGAAATAACTGCTTAAGAACGGAGAGCTGGAGATTTCTAACGTAATTCTTTTGCTAATGTGAACGATTTCAATATTCAAAGTGCCTAAATCCGCTTGTAAAGAAGATGCCAAACTATTCATCCTCTCGCCCCCCCCCCTTTTTCCCCTTTCTCCTGCGGGCGGTGGGGGGGTGGGAGCGTGTGTTTGACTTCTCTGCGGACCCTCCGAGATGAGGGCCGGGCTGGGGAGAAGGGAGCGAGGCAAAGAGGCAGAGATTTGCTTGCTCCAAGATCGCGGTACTAAAGCCCTAATCACCGCTCCTGGGATAAATATGATAAAAAAATCAAGTGCTTAGGTTAAAGTTGATCAAAATTGTTCAAGCGTGATCAATGAGCTAAAATCCTGGATAATGACTGCGCGTCCTGACAATCCCCTTCTCCCCCTCGCCCACTCGGGCTCGCAGCTCTGCGCAGCCCCCGAGCGCCTGTCGCCCACGTAACCCCTTGCTCAAAACTTTCTTGCAGATGATCCAAGCAATACAAGTACTAAGGTTTCACCTTTTGGAATTAGAAAAGGTAAGAGCCACGGAGGTGGGCGGGGGGCAAGCCGGTCCCTCCCTGTCCCCCCCTGACACCTCCCCCGAAAGACTGTTTGGGATGACTTGTAAACATGGCCAAAGGAGATAGGGGAAACGCAGCGTGATACCGTAACCTGTGCCATCAGAGCATGTGACACCCGTCAGCCATGCCCAGCCCAGCCCGAAATTATTATTTTTCTTTTTCAACGTAATTTCAACCGAGTCGTTGAATATATATATTACTAAACCCCTTCCATCCTTCTTACCCCTTCCCGCGGTAGAAGTTCTTTTCCTGCCTCGGAAATAACATGTTTAACGAAAAGAGAAATGAAAGCACTCCTGCCTTTCTCCAGCTCGGGCAGGCGTATTAACCCCAAGCAAGCACGAAATGTTTGGAAGAGGCAGGGGGCCCCTGCGCGGCGTGGGGAGGGGGCTGTGCCCTGGGACGAGAACGGCTCTTCCCACAGCCCCAGCGAGGAGCTTCATTTTACCGCAGGCGGCCACGCAGACTTTTTTTTTTTTTAGCCCCGGTTTAAAGCGATCCCGTCCCGAGTGACTCGTTGTACCTGCCTGGGCTGTGTATGCTCCAGAGATACCGCCTGGGTCCAGCTCCCAGTGTTCTGATGTTATCACCACATCGGATTTTCCTCTGCGCACCAGTCTGAGCCCACTATCTCTCTCTCTCTCTCTCTCTCTCTAACTTGTTGCTGCGGCAAGTCTCTAGAGAATAATATGTGCTGCAACAATTTCTCTATTGTTTCCTTGCCTGCAACTATTGTGCCCCTTAATTAGAGTTACTTGTGGAGTAGATCAGAGGGTTGTTCTTGCTACCATAAAAAAAAAAAAAAGTTGCAATCCGATATTTTACCATTATTGATACTATTATTCTTGTTACTGTTTTCAGGTTCATGAATTGTGCGATAACTTCTGCCATCGGTACATTAGTTGTTTGAAAGGAAAAATGCCAATAGACCTCGTTATTGACGAAAGGGATGGCAGCTCCAAATCAGACCACGAAGAACTCTCAGGATCTTCCACAAATTTAGCCGATCATGTAAGTCCTTCCGATTTCTTTATGGCACTTTTTTTAAGACTTTAACCTGCTTAGGAGGACCTGTCCCCGATTTCATTGGTTTGCTGCTGTTGTCTATTAGTAGTAGTATTATTACAACTCTAACCTCTTCCAAGCTCGGATCCCATCTTTACCCTTTCTTTCCCTCTCGCTTTGTGAAGTTGTAGAAATGCAAAAGGTTCCTTCTGTTTCCATGTGTAAAGCAGCGAGTTTGCAATGGTTTGTAAAGTTTCCTGGTCTGGGCGGCTTGGAGAGCTAGCAAACTGTCGGTTTGATATGGGGATCGGTGCTCTCTCTTCTTCTTTGCCAACTCTGTAATCAATGCAGCAACGTAAGGAAGCAGAGACAAGAAAGTTAGGGAGAAAGTTTGCTGATTTGCTCCCCCCCCCTCCTCCCCTCTCGTGGGGATGACAAGTGATGAGAATTATTGGCAATACTACATTGCATTAAAAAAGAGGGTTAGCACATTAGAGTTTCCAATGCTTGTGCTTTATAGCAACTTATTGTCAGAATATGGACTTATTGCCAAACGCCTGAAGCATCTTCATAATAAAAGACAGTAACCTTGATGAAGCAATTATTAACAATGTATTACAGAAAGCTGGAGAGAATGATGATTGAGTAACCGTAGGTTAGCGGTTGATTTTAACACTTTCGGAGTTGGCGAATTAGTGTTATGTGTGTAGGACTGAACGTTGGTGTGCGTGGTAAGGAGAGTGCCTTTGTTTTTCCGGGTTTTGGAGCGGCTTTTGTGATCCTTCCAAAACATGTAGACGCGGAGAGGCTTCGGGATGTGAAGGGAGAGATTGCAGCTGGTACCGCAGAAAAGGGAAGGAATAGCTCTGGTTAAAAAGAGTGGGTGTGAACTCTAGTTTATTTATAGGAACGCATCCCTGGGGGGAAAAGGGGTTTACGCAGTTTTAGATTCAATTGAACTCATAATCTAAATGATACAGTCTAATATTTTAGCGGTTGAAATATTAATTTAACACCCGGTGTGAAGTTAACCATGCTTTCTGCACAGGCGCCTGTCTTTATTTCCCAGTGTGTTAAGACGAGTAGCTGTAAGCCCAGGGAGAATGAGCTTTCTGGGAGCTTTTGTTTCCTTTGAAAACATGTTGTTTGTGCGTGTATTTGATAATTACATTAGACCTGGACTAAAGCTGATTCGGGAGATAAAATAATAATAAATTCTTCTAAACGCCCCCCTTCTGGTATGGCTTAGTTCCAGAGCCCGGGAAATATTTTTGGACCCAAGGCTTAGCTTTCATTTTCTCATTTGTATTCGCTAAACATTGCAGGACAAGGTTTTTGAGATGTCTTACATTTTAAATCTACTATTTTGAGGGGGAAAAAAATGTATGCAGAGGTTCCTGAAAGTTTCTCTGCTTATCAGCTACCTCACACGTAGATAATAAACTCTATGAGGCATGACACTATTTAAAAAATATTTGTTTTATGGCATTTTACAACCTTACATTCGTGCGCACAAGTATTCAGGGAGAGTGCTAGAAAAGAAATTGAAATGAGTGGCAACCTGAAAGATATGGGGTCATTGTGCATGATTCAGAGCAACAGAAAAAAAAAAAAAAAAAGTACATGTTTCTCCAGTTCAGTTTCTTTACAAGAGTGTGTTTCAAGTGGAAGTGTAGAAATGGAGCATGCTTATGTTTATATTGAAGAGATTAGATAAACTAGCCTGTTTAGGGTTCTGGCAGATGGCGAATGCTCAAGCCAATTTGCAGTGCTCCATTATAATATTTAAATTCACACACAATGATAGGACAGAGGTGGAGGGGGTTAGCATTTTGATAATTTGATAACTATTATCTTCCCTAAGAAGAATCTCCTCTTGCTTTTGTGGCCCAAAAAACAAACTCAAATAAATATGACAACCCATTTATCTTGCACCCGTTAGGGTTTACCACTTCATTGGGTATTATAATTTAAAGCCTTTTATTTCCTGGAGATTTGAGCTATAACATTTTTACTTTAGCCCCCTGCTATTTGTTTTGAAAGGAAGCAATAATTTGTGCAACCAGAACACCAACTGGGAAATGAAGAGTTGTATCACATAGTTACATTTTATTCATGCGTTTTGGGAAATGTGACTCCTTATTGGATTTTTTTTTTTTATATTAGCTTGTTTTCCCAACAAAACTTTAACACTCTTTTACGGCTTAGTCAAACTACTGTGTGTGTACACATTTATATTTACACTGTACAAGGTTCCAGCAGGAAGAAATCCACTTTTGTTCATAAATAAGGAAAAGCTTTAAAAAATGGCTAATATAAACATGCAAGACCATCAAAAAACGAGCTATCATTTGTGCGCATCTACCTGAAAATGTAGTAGTTCAAGCATGCAAATTTGCCCAATTTGACTCTCCAGGTTTATTTTTTCATTTGCTTTGATATGCATATTTAATATATAGCCTCAGGCTAGATCTCATTTGGTGAAAGTTGGTGCAGGGGTGATGATGAGCCACTTCAGAAGGACAGAGACAGCATGTTGTTTCCTCTGTTTTATGTATTGGCCCACTATTCTGATCCATGGGTCTTCCCTTCATGGTTTTATTTGCACATGAAATACTAGGAGCATTTCAACTGATTGGCTATGAATAATGATGGCCAAAAAAAGAAGTGTAGTTTAATTTGTTGTGTGCCAAGGTTTCTCTTGTGGAGGTGACAGTTTGTGACAGCTGTTTGACACCCCAAAAATCCATATACCTCTATTCTTATTAGGCGGTATAAAGCTACAGTCTGTGTGTTTAATGTGAATGCGAGGGCTGGTAGCGGTGACAGTGGCAGTGCTGAACTCGGAACTAAGGCAGCTCTGTTTTTATTCCTTTGCTAGACCCGAAAACGGGCATAAGGGAAAGTAACAGAAAGAATTGTAGGATTAGCCAATATTTACCATAAGACTTTAAAGGGGGCACTCAAATAGTACATGCTTCCCCTTTCAAAACCTACAGCTCCGCTATTTATAGAACTTAATTGGAAACCAAAACCAAAATCAACAAAGGAATGAACTCTTCAGAGATATACCTGCGCTGGAAAAAGGAGACAGCTGTAAGCGGTTGTGCTATACGTGTTTGGTAATAAATGTGTTTATCGAATTTTATTTTAGTGCGCTATTAACTGTTATGTAATACAGTAAGTGTAAAGGGTCCAGGGACCTGGTAGATCAAATAGTGCAGCGCTGGCCACAAGAAGCTGAAACTTTTGTTATTACTCTGCTGTGTTTAGTAAATATAACAGCCCATAATTAGTGTTTGAATTTTTAACACCCTCATATTTTTTTATTGCTCTGAGGTATTAGCTGTAGATGGGAAGAAGGTAATTACAGCTATGCCCTGGCTGAACCAGATCAGTTGGGGGGGGGGATGGGGGAGGAAGAAGAGAAAAGAGGAAAGAAACCTTTCCAGCTGCAGTTCAAGTTGAGTTTCCCAGCACAGATAATTTATTATTGTTCAATATAAACATTCGGGGCCCTATCCTGCATTCTGTGCTCAGCCTAGAATATCTGCTCAGATTGCCAACAAATCTTTCTTTTTTTTTTCCCTTTCAAGCTATTAAAATCCGAGAAAGATAATGCTTGTAAAATTCAGAGATTTTTAAACTTTTTCGAGCATATGATAACATTTTGTACTTTAATTACATTTCTTTTGTACCTGGCTTCACCTGGTGCCACACAATTCTTCCTTTAGCGCAAACCTACTTTGAAGCCGAGTAATTCTCCCGTAGAAATTTATGGGTCTCCTTCTGCTGGCTTTTGTGGGAGCAGGATCAGGGCCTCATTCTTTTTGATATTTGTTTATATGTTGTAGTCAATTTGCAGCTGAGAGGTAATAATATACAGATCATCATTCATAAAATATAATTAAAAATGGGTAGAAATATACATACATCTCTTTTTTATGAAAAGGACTGTTGACAGATTAGAAATCCGATGCCTTAGCTGTAGAAGAGAAATATTAGGCTGAATATTAAACCTTTCAGCTCTCAAATGAGGAGATAGTTTTACTTTGTACTTTTGCACATTCAGACATTTTACGTTTCTTTAATATTTCTTCTCGAAGAATGGTCTGTGCAAATTCCTGACATCTTGCAGATGAGAAAAAAATAAAAATAGGGATAATGCGTATCTGTTCCGATTATATAATTAAACCTTTAGGTAAGATTTCACCGAGTAATGAGGAAGTAATTGGGGGCCTACTGCTGCAGTCTCCAGGTATGCCATACTTTGGTGGAGTTCAGTGGGAGTTTTGAATATGTCAGAAACTCGGGATCAGACCCCAAAGACGCCCTTTCTGTTTGTAGAGAGTCAGAAGGGAAACGATGTAGCTAACTACAAGAATGATGAGGCAACCTTTTTTCTTTAGTAACCAAATTTCTTACCATGTGCCTTAAGAGTTAGAACGTTAGGGTAGGCCCTGTGCTTTCTGAAGGGGCAAGGAGCATCGGGAACTTTCCAAGACTGTAGACAATCTTGTGGTTTTCCTCTTTTTGATGGGCCAATGTACTCTGCAAAGGTACTCTAGTGCTCGATTTTGGGTGTTTTAATTTTAAACTGGGTTCTCTCAAACTGAACCGGTAACATATTTCAGTATCTACTTGGTGCCAGTGTTTCTTCTTTGGTTTGAGTAGTCTATCAGTCTAGATGAAGTATAGCAGCACAGAAAGATGTAGAAGGGCCATTAAAAAAACCAACAAAACCCTGATTTTTCAAGTCTCAGTTCCTTGATGACAGGTGGATTACATGCCTTATTTCAATCTTAATTGGAAAATACAAAGCACGCAGCTTTTCAGACCATTGCCATCTTCTAAAGCGTCAAAAATTCCTCCTGACACTGTCCTCAAATGGGAAATTGTCCTGGTTTGAGGACAAAACTACGACAAAAATCAAGGGGCAAACATTATAACCTGTACATATATACACATACATACACAGATATCTGATAGATCACAATGCCTTGCAT